ATAATTATGAATAAGTACCTACAAATATTTTTTTAATATAATAACAACCGTAGTATCATAGACCATTCAGGAATATAAATGTTTTTTTTTTTAATATTGAATATTTAGCACATGTAAATCCTAAGTATTATTTGTCATAGTTTCACAACAGTTAATAACAGATATAACAGTTAATTATATGAATAATCGAATAATGCATTTAAAATGCATTTGATATATTTAAATATGTTCTATATATTTTTAATACTAATATTGCTAACTTTGCAATTTGCATAAACCACCACCGTCCAAACGTTTTAAACAAAAAAATTGACACGTGATCTTTTCAAAATATTCACATAAATCTATAAACAATAAAATGTTATAATATGTAGACATTACACTTATTGAAATGAACATAGTATTTTAAAATCGCTAATTCTCTAAAATATCTATGATATTTTTGGACTGTTCTACTCTAACAATGATTGATTTTGTTTAAATAGCCACTAGTGAAGTATATTTACTTTAAAAATATTTAAACTAAAAATAATTACTATAATTCAGTCAACAAAACAATTAATATCGGCTATTTGTATACATTGAAACTTTGAATAGAGCAATGAAGTTCAAACTAAACTGAATGTATACAATATAATACTAGAAGATTTATTAGTATTTTACGTCAGTAAGTTCCAACTTCAGTTAAAATATCTCTAGTACTGTTTGAACAATCTGTATTATGTGAACTTAATATTTCTGAGAATTTTCTTAAAACTGATTGTTGGTAAAAACTTCTTCATAATTAACTTTATAAGACCTAACAGCACTCGTATTTAGGTGAAAAATTCGCAAGTTGAAACTACCTCAAAAACCCATAACAATATAAAATATATCCAAGGCAGACATCAGATATCTTTTATTTATACGGTCGTAACAATTTAGAAATTGGACTGTTAATAATTTTGGATAACGGGAAGATTCTATATCACATTGATTTATCCTACCCAGAAATTGATTCATTTGTTGAGTTACAAATGTTTTTACATGGACTGAAGCCCCCACAGCTCCCATGCAAACTACGCCAAGGTAATACAATATTATCATTTGTTTTTTACGCTCATATAACTGTTATACAACAGTATGTAAGTAAGTATTATAAGCTGAAATTTTAAAGACGTCACATTGTTAATTTAAAATGTTACTTTTTATATGATAAATATTTTTTTTAATTAATTTTTTGAGAAACGTCATTAAAAAAATTTAATTTAATGAAATAGTGTATTTATTAAATAAACCATAGGACAATAGGGCAATCGTGATTTATTTCGATTTACACAAATACAACTACTAATTGTCTACCAACCTCATCTCTTGAAGTTATATAGTTTGTTTACATGTACAAAGATAAAAATAAAAAAGATTAATTCATCTAATTTCAACTTATTAGCTTTGTATTATTAATTTAACAATGTTATGTTTTCTGTGACTAAAGTTTAAAAAAAATATTTTGAATCTATAGAAAAATATAACACTGCCCGTTGTAATACTGTCATTATAAAACTATTATGTAATAATCAAAATAGGTACGTACGACTATTTCGCCACAACATTCTACAGATTACATACTGAATAAATGTCATCTGAGTGACCAACAAGTTATTACCGTGTATATTTTAAAAACTATACGTGTAACAATATATATATATATACTGCATAATAGTCATTATTAAAGTAATAGTACTAAAAATAGTATTTAAAGAACAAACCGCATTAGATTATCAATTAAATTCAAATAAAATATCCATTTCAATAGTATAGTTTAGATTTGAAATTTTTATACTTTCTGACATGCAATTGAAAGTATAATAACTATTCTATTTATTTATAGATAAAGATATCAACTTAAAGAAGTCGTCAAAAATACTATAGTATAATAGAGCGTTTGGAACTCGTATAAAATAGAAACAAGGAGGATAACAAAAGAAATATCCCTTTTTCAACATCAATCAGATCACAACATGTCAAACTTTGGTAGATCCTGTAGCCAGTACAAATAACAAATGACCTTCCGCTGTGAAAAATGACCTTAGGGTTGGAATTGAGTAGTTTTCAGATGGGCTTTCAACTGACGAAGGATCATTGTCCGTTGAACTGACCGGCCAATACAAGTAATTTGGTACTCCTCTCCTTAAATTATTTTTTTCTTTTAGATTCTTTTCTGTGCGTACGCCTCAACACTGCACACATAAATCTCCGATTTTCTTTTTTCTTCTTATATTGTAATGGGGGTGATTCATCATTGTGGGGTATACTCCTTTCATCACTGAAGAACACTTTAATTTTTGGTCTCTTACTTTTAATGATCAACATTAAGGGTCGCGTTTATTATATCGCGAAAATCATTACACAAACTACAAATAAATATGATTTTATGTCATTGTACACGAAACATATAAACTAGTCATACCTAAAATTGTATTTGATTAAATTTCAACTTTCTTGACAATATATTTTGTTGCTTTAATAGCCCCTTATCCACTTAAATAATTATTAAGGTTAAATCGAAGGGCTATTTTTTTTTTAATAAAATCTTAGTTTTAAATAAATATGTTAAGTTATACAATTTTACTCATTTGCAAATAGTATTTTGGAATAATTTTATAAAAATGTTTATTTAATTAAAAGCTTAGTTAAAAATGTTTCCACATTTTCATATCATTTTTTATAATAGGTGAAGTCATTATACTTAACAAAATTTTCTTCTTTTAACGCAATCAGATTACATTTTTACACGTTTAAATTGTAATGTACATTCATAAAATATATGACAATTATATTTAAATAGAATTTATTATTTCGATTTGAATTTTTAATTATTAAATATGGTAAATATAATTATTATTGTAAAGTAAGATATACATAATCTGTTTTTTTTTTTTAATTATCTACATTCCGGTAGAAATATCCATAAATGATCATTATAGAACTCTAAGAAAACTTATATGACTGAGTTCTCTTTGTACCTTATATTAATCTCAGGACAATAATGGTTTTCAACATTGCTTTCGGGCTAATCTTTTGAGTTCAAAAAATTATAATCAGGTTGGTCATTTATTAAAGCACGCCTCATCTATTTGTTTTAAACATATTTCACTTTTTTATTACCTCTAAGTTTAATGGCTTAATATAAAATGCTAGCGCATAATATTCTTTGGTCGTCATTAAGTACAATCGGAACACTTAAAAAATGATTAAGTAAAGAACAATGAGAAACTTAAAGGAATTGTAAATATGAACTTATACTGTACCGTCAGTATAATCAATTTTTAAATTAATTTACAAATAACTTTGAGATGTGCTTAACATATGATTTTATCTAACATGAAACATTGAAAAACAGGACGTCATTGTTCAAAGAGATATATTTAAATTTTATTCACATCACGATAAGCGGAAAACCGGTAGCTTTAAAATGATTTGTTATTTTTATCATGTATTTTATTTTTGTATGAATGCCTATTTTAACTATGTGCCAAGAGCTTAAAGTATTCAGAAAATCCGTTCAAAAACGAATAGACGAGTATGTAATGATTCCAATAATTTCTGTTTTATAAATCGAGTTACAGTACAAAAAAATTCACATAAGTTGATTAAAACAAATGAGTAAACATTAGTACGGACAATTAATTTACCGCTCGAAAATCAATGTATTTGTAATTTATTAGGTTCAATTTGAAAAATGACCATTAATTTATTTCTTGAGTTCTAAAATGTGAGTCAAATTATGTTAGTCACCTTTACCATCAGTATTCCCCAGCGTTATAATATGCACATCACGACAAATCCGACCAACACAGTTTTATCAAAACAGTTACACGGCTAATCATCTTAATTTTTTGTAAGGTTTCAAGTGAAAAATTTAAAGAGGCCTTATCTATTTATAGAGTTACTTTTACGTTCGTACAACTGCTATGTTTTATATTTTTGTCATCTCTGACACTGTTACTGTCGTGCTACTGTCGGGTAACTACTAATCAATTCAGGGTCCTAAATCCGACTACTGTACATATAACGGCTGAGTAAAACTGGTTTTATGGACAAAGATAGGTACATGCACTACTCGTTAGAAATACTATATTATAATCATTTCATGTATATATGATATGTGAGCACACAGACAAAACTGTGGAACAACCATTATACATTTGAAACACACACAAGCGGTTTCAAAGTATGTGTTTTTCTATTGACTTCTGACAAATTAAATTTTTAAAACGCGTTTATGGTTACTGTGCTATGTAAGACAAACGTAACGACTGACATTTAATTTGTTTTTCAAAGGAATACAAGAAATTTCCACATTTTTTGAGCACTTGCTTCAGTCCCAATACTCGGAAAAATAATATGTTATATTTAGTTTAATAAAGATTAAGATGAACGAAGATTTAAATTAAAATGTATATCTCCTAGTAATGTACTTGAAGTTCTTTGAACCGAATTAAATTCATTAGATATAACAATTTCTTATTAAAGATACGTACAAAATGTTATTCAAAAATTTAATTCATTTTAAACGAGACAAACGATATTTCTTGTGACAAATCTTGCGAAAGTTTTGCCTTCGGTGAAATAAACTGACAGAAGCTTTTTTTGTCCTCGTATTTATATTGAATCAATATAGAAACATTGTTAAGATGACGCAAATCGATTACATACTCAGTTCACACCTGTGTGGCATTATTCAGTTGATTCGGCTCGAGGCCGATTTTCCAATTTGAAATCAAATAACAAAACTATGGCAGCCGTATTTAAGTAAAAAGTAATTTAATTGATTATATGCACACTTAATTGATTTCATAAAAAAATATTATATTATATATAATAATCATTCAGTATATATATATATATGTATAAAACAATTTTTTTAATATATATTTTTTAACACGATATAACATTAATGAACGCTTAATTCATAAGGTATTTATTTTCAATTACATTACACGATTTAGCGTCATGAATTAAAAAAATTAACATTGGGAATTATTCAAAATAATTATAATATTTAAAACAAATTAATTTTTAGACTTTTAGCAAAGCTTTTGTTAAAATTGCGTAGTCTTGATAAACATAAAGTAAAAGAAACGAGCTCAGTTGAACGTTTGGATTTTGTAAATGAAACTAGATATAACCTACTCATTATTTTTTCAAAGCAATAAGAACATTCTGAAAATTATAAAGATTCAATAGTAAATACGTCAATCGAATAAAAATTCAACTTTTTTAACTCGATTTTTTTTTTAATACATACCTGAACTGTGACATAATTATTTTTCTATGATTGTAGAAGGGCGTTTTCTTTTTTCAAGGTTAACTTATCACTGCGTCAATATCATAAGAAGTTCTACAACGTATTTTTTAATTTTAATGAAAGTTAATTTTAAACGTATTTTGTTGTGTATTATATTTTTTGATGAAGATCTTTTGTAAGTAATATCGCTGTCGTCTTTTGTCCGGAAGGAAATGCAGCTTCCTGATTCGCGTTGATCTAACGAAGGCAAAAGTATTATATCATTTCCAAAAGGTACCTCCATAACTTTTGGGTAATAAATAGTGTCATGGAAATGTACCACGAATATATGTTGACACGCCTATTATGTAAATTCTGTTTCACGACATTTTTGTTTTTAGGCTTCACAAAGAAAAGAGACAACTTTTTCATTTTTATACTTCTTGGGATAAGTTATTATATCCAATAGCGTATTCAAATAGTTGAAGAGAAAAAGTTTTTCATAACCTTGTATTGAATTGAACGAATTTTCCATTTTAAAGTCCCAAAGGAAAGTGTTTTCTTAAAAAAAATATTTTTTTACGTAAAGAGCTAGTTTTGGAAATTTAATTTTAAGCTAAATATATTTTAACACTAAACTAGGAACACAAGCTAACAAAAAATCCGTCATTTTGCGCTACTTCCTATTCGATTCAATTGGTAAATTTTCATAGACCTTCGATTTTTATTTATCCTCAAAATATCTCATGTGCATAATCTAAAAAACAAATAATTACCAAATTTAAAATAAAATCTTTATTCAATCTCCATTCTATTCAACTGTAAAATTAGATACATTATAAAGATTAGGTATACTGTATATTAGTAATAGTAATTTTATGTAATTTTGATAATTTTGTTTTTTTTTTTTTAGAGTAAACAGCAATTTTACAAAGTTGCGTGACAATATACAATTATTTTTTGTCAATAAAAATAAACAAGTTAAGGTCCAAACGTAAATTCAAAATTCAACTAAACCCTAATTGCACTTGATTAGTTGAAGTTAACAAAGCATAACCACTAGCTAATGAGTTATGAGTTACATTATCATTGTTCTTCAAGTAAATAAAAAAAATTAATTTTAAAGAAACTTCTCAGAAAAAGTATTATTGCCAATATATATTATATGTAAATCAAATAAGCAATAAAACAAAATCAAACCTGCAAGAACAACGCATTTTTATAGTTGGTTCTCTTAGAAATTATACTAATTCAAAAAGAAAAAAAAAATCATCAAATTGCATATTATTAAAATTGTCTCCACGAGAGATATTAATATTATTTTCATTTATATTACTTTTTTAAAATTATAATTGCATTTTTATTGCTCCATAAATTTAATGTTCTTATATAAGTATTTATCACTTGTGGCTAGTATTTGTTTAACCCAGATGATAATATTGATATCAAAATACGTATACAAGACATTTTTTAATATTAAATTAATATTTTAAATATATTATGTATTTACTAGTTATTTTTTTATGATTTATCTGGAGTTTTGATCCCATTCTTTATTACAAGTTATAAAAAAAATATATTTTTAACGACTATTTTTGTTTTTATTTTATTTTAAATTACTTTTTTTTATTGAAGTAGTAAGCTTCGTCAATAGTTAAGCTCTTAATGATTTTTTCATTTGTCTTACTAGTAGCTATTTTTTTATTTATAAACAACTCACACAAAATTACCAAGAAGCTTAACAAAACTACGAATATTTATAGAAATAAAAGTTATTTTAAATATTCTGTTTTTTAATTTTTCGTTGTACTGAGTTTAAATTTATATTATTACTATATTGTATCGAGATGGGGTTATAGAAAAACTTTCCTCTAAAAGCGTAAGATTAATGGTCAAAATTATTTTTATTTAAGCTGGAACATAACACTAACTTAAACGTCAAAGGGTATTTTTCAAAAGTGATTAATCACACATAATTTGAAAACCCATTATTTTTCCTGTCTTTTGTATATTTTTTCATTCTTATTGATTTTAAGGGTTCCAATGTTAAAATATTATAAGTTACAAGACTTTCAAAAATCTAAAATACCCAAGGTTAATTAAAATGTCATCATTAGACAGACGGATTTATTTAAACTTTTTTGGCACTATCTCGGCAAGTTAAATAATCTAACTCATCAATCTCACTTCAATATCTCTTATCTCTAGTTTTCACTATAACGATGAAAATATTCCCTCTTTATAAAAACTATTATATACCATAATATTTACCATACTGTAAGATCATAAACTTAAGATTTTTATGTTCATATGTCTTTAAATAACTTATTAATTCTTTATTTATAATTAATATAGTAATACACATAAAAATACAATTTTATAAATTGTATATGTATACCATACATATCATTTCATCATTGCATTATTTTTACAACTTTTTACAATTTAACTCTTTACAATTTTATAAATTTCGAAATAATAAACAATCAGCGTTTAGATAGTTATTAAAACAACGTATTTTTTATCTGTTTTGTATTCATGTTTTTAATAATTACCATTTTTTAAATACACTAATTGTAAATCATATTTCAGCGAAACGTGTTGTTGAATCAAATTAAAAAATATTAAAAATTTTATATTTTACGGAAAATTCGTAAAAATTTGAATAAACTTTTTCTTGTGAAATAAGTTCACTCTTAATAATAGTTTTAATTAGTAATTAGTTATTTTTAATTTTCAATTAAATCTTACAAACTAATTACTTTCTAAAAATGTTGACAATAAGGTAGAATAACATTAACAATTGTTCTATTATTTGCTTATAAGTTAACTGTGAACAGACTTGATTAATTTTAAGTTACTGAAGTAGAATAATATCTATTTGTTAGGTTACATTGATAAATTTTAATAATTATAGGGTTCTAAGTTAATTGTTTTCAGTAAGTATACTCTGATGTATGTGTATTATAATTGAATTGTACACTACACATTTCATGAGCCTAAATTTCTTAGTCGAAACAATTATTTACATTTCAAATTGATTTTTAATCTCACTTTTGAATCGATTAAAATAAGACCTTCGTGATACTATTTAATTGTCGCAAAAGTTGTATTTGTACCGAGAGAAACTTGATTGTGGTCCTAGAATAATTTAAATAGCTCTACAGTCCCTGGTCGTGCATAATTCTTGACTCGTGGTTTATATTAAACTTTAATTATATACTATAACAATAGATTTCACAACAATCAAAACTAACTACAATAAATAATTTGAACTTTGAAGGGGTTAAACTTGAAAATTGTTGTCAAATTTAAAAAAAAAACGTTGAGTGACTGTATAATACTACTTTGACATGCGATTCTCTACTGTATGTATTAGAACTTGAAATAAAAAAACATTTTGCTAAAAACGACAAAATTTGATTTTAAAAACAAATCCATTCTTAAATTCAAATAATAGTAAGGTAGAATCTAAAAAATGTTTACTTTAATAAATTTTCCTGATATTCTGTTACTTATAAAGTATAAAAATTAATCAATACTGTGCAATTTACAATTGACAATATTTTAAATTGATTAAGTAAACAAGTACTTGTCATGAATTCAACAACAAAAACTATGCTGTAATAACACTTTTTTGTGGGTTATACCAATTCAAACAGATATATATGTTATTTACAAAGAGTTTCAAGCAAAATGTAATTGAACATTGAATACTAAAATATCGATTAATATTCTCAAAATGAATGTTCGAAATTGAAAATTGAATTATAGAAACTGTAACCACGTTCTAACTTCTCTTATTGTTCCTAAACTCTAAGTCTGAGCATTGCGTTTGATAATATGATCTCAACCCTCTAGAGACAGCAAGTTTAAGAAGACGGTGAGACTAATTCAGGCTTTTGTAATCCACTTTACGTTGTTCGACTAAAATTTATTAATACACTTATTCTTCAGTTTCATCCAGTTTGCTAAAAAGTCAAATACAACTCTCATTCGAGAAAAATAGTTTAAAATATTTTTCCAACCGTGAGAATCTCAATTTTTTAGCAATGCAGACAGCCGACAAAGTAATTTTTCTTTTTTAACTAAAACGTAGAGCATACTTCCGTTCTCTCTTAACCCATTCATTAACTACTGGGTTCACAACAACCATCACTATTGCTATTGCCCCGAGATGAAAACGCACAAACAAAGATACAATAAATGGGCAAGCAATTCGTTGGAATGAAAATTATTATATTGTTGTTTCTATTTAGGTTAAGATTCCGGAAACGCATGTGTGTGCGTTAATATACTGCCGGTGAGCAGCTGCTTGCGAATTTCATACTTAATTTCCGGACCTTGTGTGTTAGGTCTCTTTGTTTTCACCGGGTAGAGCAACAGCTGTTTTCTGTGTAAGTGTGTTTGTAATTTACGTGCGGAATCCTAGTCAGTTGTACCTATGGGCACTAAAAAGACACATCAGCTGACTGTACGCTCGCTGGCATATGTATACAATATTTGACGTACGTTTTCGAACAGACCTCCTATCAGATGAGACTTCATGTAACAGCTGGGCTGGGAGTCGTTAAAAAAAATTCTATTCGGCTGAAAATTTTTACAGCCGAGGATGGCAATAATAATATTTTGTATTCTTATGTGTCTTCGTGTGTATGTATTTATTGGAAACAGTCAACGGAGGGACGTCCTGTTGGGCTAATCGAAATGTTTGACGTGTCAAATGTACCGTACACACGCACAAAAGGGTTTTTTATATTATTATCATTACTACTTGGAAGCATAGAGCCAACTGCAAAAAGGTCTCCCTGTAAATACTTATTCGACCCTGAAAACATCGTTATATTTGTGTGTGTGTAACGCACACAGCGTATAGCGGTCACATTACTATCATTATGCGTAATCCACAGGGGTTTAGGTATTTAAAAAAGAAAAAGAGTATAACAGTAGCCGAGTTAGAAGGCGACTGCGGTATAATACATAATAGAGCGAGATGCAAAGGCGAGGGATTCGGTGTGGTTCTCGAACAGTGTTTAATGGAACGACTGAAAGGCGAAGAAAAATGATCTGATCTTTATTACAGTATTGTTCAACATAAAGAATATACCTCTTGTTTATTTTTGTAAATGACTGAGAAAAATGTATCTGTCAGCTATCCTATTTGTTTCTATTAGGTTTCCTATACGCATCTCGCTTGACATTTTTGCAACTTCAAATCAATTCAATTGAATCAGCCAACAAGTGCCATTTTTTTCCAAATTCCCATGCAATTTGAGATAAAGTCACATATTAAATGTTTTAATGATGGATTTCACGTGATTACCGAGTTGTATAAACTAATTATTCTAACCATTTAGTCAACTATTTTTAGTTATATAATTAAAATTCTAGGTATAAATATATTATTGAAAACAAGACCTGTTTTTTTTTTATAATTTACGTAAATATTTTAACGTTATCTAGGAAAAATAATTTTTCTCTCAAATTGTCTTCGTCTTACAACACCTTTAATAATATGGCCGTCGCTATTTGAAAAAATTTTTAACAAGTAATTAAACTATACTTAAAAGGCTTTAAGACGACGACAATTCAAAAGGCAAATTATTTTTTTAGACCATGTCCGAATTTTACATGACTACTGTATATTTGATTATATATAATAATTAGGTATTTATTTCCATCATTTTTCATTTTGACCTATGTCCGTTATAATACTTCTGTCAGTTTTATTGTTATGGAAATGTATTTATATGTGTGTGTTTGTGTTTTTTTTTTGTGGTTTAATGCGTTTCAAAGTTAAATATGTTTAATTGCCAATGAATAATTTTACGGGTGAAAGATTCTAAAGTTAAAATAATGTATGCGAGTGCTGTGCTTAACAATTATATACACACATATATTATGAATAAATTCAAAATAGTTTAACATCCAAAACATCTAAAATAGTTTAATTAATGAATATACGTGATATAGTGATATGAAATTACAAAATTTAATAACATATCATTGAGGGAATGTATGACTAACGTTTATATGGCATAGCTTTAATATTATAAATCATAAAACAGAAAATATAAAAAATGGTGTTATGCTGTTCATTTATAAATTGAAAAAAAAATGAAACTGAATTTTTATTTATTCATTTGCAAATAATTAAAAGTTATTCAAAACATTTTTGTTTTAAAACAAATTAAAACTTTCCAGACTAATTTTCATAATTTTTTAAATTTAATTGCCGACTATAGGGGCAATACTGTTTTGAATTTGAGGTTGTTTAAGTTCCAAACATCAAAACATTTTCATTGAAAATTATTGAAACTATTTAAATTACTATGTGTAAATTACTTTACCTATGACATTGCACACGTAAAATATGAAACTCAACATTTCAAAAATAAAACCGTTACTTTTTATACAAATATATTTAATAAATAATATAAAAAAATATTTTATTTTTTCTTAAAATTGTTTAAATAATAGTCAAAATTACTTGATTGTGCTAATGTTATCCTAGGGGGTGCCAAAACACCCCCTTATTTGCACCTATGATATCAATTTTAGTTTGGAAAAATTCAACAATAGATTAAATGTTAGTACACTACCTTAAGTAGAATCTTATTGTTTTACAATTAATTATTACTTTTTTAAAATTGCTTAATATTTTGAGTACAGTGTAAAATAATCAACTTACAATCACTTATAATACCCAAAGTGTTAAAAAAACCATCTAAGTATGAAAGCGTACTTTGTATTTCACCTCTTTATTTGTCTTTCCATAAGTATACATTTTAGCATTATTATGTTTGTATATATTGTAATTTTTTAATATTTAATCATAGGGTTTGAGTATTTTTTTGATTCTATCCCTAACAAACACGCCACCGAATTCATCTCAATTCACCAGACCATCTCCACTTTGTCAGAATAAGCAACAAATATTTTATAAAGTATCAAATTCAGTTGATAAGTTTTTAATTAAAAATATCTCTTCAGTTAGTGTACCTGTTTATATTTCTAAGTATTTACTAGGTTAAGAAAATAAGACTGACGTATGCATTATTTTTAATAACACCATGCCAATGAGGAAGATCTTAAGTATCCGGTATCTCGTTTCCGCTCTGACCTCGCCTATTTTTAAAATGTTAAACCTGCCTTTAAAAGTAATTAAAAAAATGATAACTTCCTTGACATACGCCTCCCTAAAAGTTGTATAAAATATATATTTTTTCATTTTAAAGGAACAAGGGACAAATTTTTATTTTTCTTAATTTACAACATGTAAATTATTTTTAATTTTTTATTAACTGTTATTAATATATAGGTTATTTATAACACATATCAAATAATTATATATAAAATTATTCATTTTAAATTAATAATTTATTTAAAAAAATGTGTTGGAAAAGTAATTAATACCATTTCAATAGTTACTGTTACGTTGTTAATGGTAATTATATTAAATTAATAGTAAATTAAATTTTTTTATTTCTATTTATTACACTATCACATTGTGTTATTATGAAAACATAAAATTATATTTGTAAACATATATTTTAGGATATAAATATTTTGTTTTTTTTTCAAATAGTCACGTTTAAATACTTTTTTACCTAGTGTCTCATTTTAGTAATTTGGCAAGAAACCGAATTAGCAGAGTACTTTAGCACCTTAGAGAGATTTCTAGTTAAATAGTTAGTAATAAAAATGATTATATTATGTTGTGAATTTAAAAGAATATTAATATATTGTGTAAAATGACGATTATTTTATTTTTAAAGTTTCGGTCCTAAACGTCAGTTGATTAATTTTAATTAACTTTAGTCTTCTATTATTTTACAAAAGATCATACGATGCGTATAGAAAATTAAAAACTAACCCAATAAATATATTGGATTAGTTTTTTAAAATATTACATGATTTTTATTCGTTGGAATTAAATAGCTAATTTATCTATTATGGAAACAGTATAATATCACAAATTTATTTAAATCTTTTTGATACGATCAGTCTTTGTATTCTAACCTATGCTGCTGTTAAAATTTTATCGATACACAACCATAAATTAAATTTAAAAAACAATAATTTTCGTTTATTCTAAAAGAATTTATTATAGAGCTGTTTTGCTTGTTAAGCGATGGTAAAGTATTTTATTTTTTTTGATGGTGAAAAATAAAATTTATTTTGAAATTTTATTGAAAGCCTAAAAATAGTTTTTATAAATTCCAGTTAAACTCCATCGACTCAATTTAAATGTTAATTTCAGTTTCCGGTATACATTCCCTTTGACTTAAAATCTCACTGTAATAAATAAAAATTAAACCCGCACCCTCATTTTTTGAAATGATGCTAGCTATCGCTATCATTCAAAAAAAGTATCTATAGACTTAGAAAAAACGTTGAAAACTTTAGCTACAAATAATACACAAACTAATTATGAAATATTTAAACTTTTTTCTTTATTTTATGGGTATTAAAATAAAAACCTTCATAAAAAATTTTATTTTCCTTTCAATTGTTATTAATTTGTACAAAAGATATACAATTAATTATACTTTTGCCCTTAGATTTTTATGCATGAAACCATAATTATATGTTATTTTTAAACATATCATTATATTCATTTTATCTTTTTGAAAAACTGAAGAACAAATGATTTTTAACTTAATAAATTCAATGCAAATTTCAATAAAAATCAATTAGCTATTTTAAATATTGAAAACTATTATAAGTACTAAAAATTTATTGACCACATTAATGTTTTTTTTTAAATATAAAATTAATAATAATAATTATAGTTAATTACACGTTGTTCATAGTTTTTAAATTATAATTTTATTGGCAAACGATAGTTATCAAATGAATAATTATTTGCTAAAGAAAAATTTTCTTACTGAATTATATCATAGTCTAAAAAAATTGTACAGCTTTATTTGTATATTATTATAAAAAAAATAACCAAGAAATGATTCATATCATTGCATATTTTTTTTATATTTAAAATTTAATTATTTTTAAAGTAATTGTAAGCTATAATTTTGAGTCATAACTCATAATAAAAAAAATATCAATGAATAATATACACTCATTGAAAAATAAATTATGTAACGATAGAAAATACTTAAATGAATCGATTAGAATTACCTGTGTTATAAAACTTTAATTTTACTTTAGTTTGACAGTTAACGATAATTATTCGCCAATACAATAATTATCAATGTTAATTATTTATCCAATAAATATCTTTTCTGAACTTAAATGTTATTGTATGGAGCGCTTCATTTATAATGAATAAATCAATATGAATTTTGTGCTACGTGACCTAAGACACGTTGAATCTTGAATCCAAATAATGTTATAAAACATTTTTTTCTGTTTTCTTTTTTTGTAGCATTAATTCATCCTAAGAGAAAAATCAATAATTAAATTCCATTTACAACACAATTTCTGATAGATTTAACGAATAATAATAATAATAAATTGAGTTTTATATTATTTTCAGTTCAGGTTTTTACTAAATACGGGTTCGTTTGCTGTTTAATAATTTTTCTAAAAAAACCATTAAAATTATTTGTAGTTGAGTCAATGAAAGTGAAAATCTTTTAAATAATTTTTGCAAAATTACTAGTTTCAGTGAACAAATTATTTTAACCTTCGGTTGCACTTATTACTTTACGGTTTTGTTTTTAAACTCTATGCGGTCAACGTCCTATAGACATTTCGAAATTGACACTAATAATTATGTAACGTCCCAATTGACCGCCGACAACAACACTAAAGCGAGTCGAGTGTATAAACTCGACGCTGCAAATTGCACATTGCCGTTATTAATTTGTTTACTCGTCGGTAACCTATATTTTATATTATTAATTCAAAATAATGAAAAAATATCCCTCTTATGACTGCTTTAACAATCACCATCCTACACACACACACACTAGTTCTATAGTCATTCGGTACGACATCGACATCCCAGTAAAACTATTTGCAATTTATACGTTAAATAGTGTATTGTACAATAAAATGAACTTTTTTTTATTGCTTTTATTGAAACACAAACATAATTTAACAATGGTAAAGCTTGATAAATCCGAAATAAACTGTTGTCGACAACATGACAACATTACGGTGCAGTTTCAGTTTTAAAAACATTAAACAAATTCTATTAATACAAATAATAGTTGTGCAACGGTCCTAAAAATGATAGATAAAGAACATGAGTAATAAAACAAAATTGGCTCCAACAATTAACTAACACATACAATGGTACTTAAATCACTAAAACAGGATATATTAATACATGTTTATTAAGAGTAACAAACGTTGGCAGATAAAATCGCGCCCAAGATCATATATTTTACTTGAGCTGATCCTACTAAAACACAAGGAAATAATGATAGAACTAAAATATATATTAAATAAAATTGCAGTAATAAAACATATACAAACACTCTCAATAACAGAAATCGTTTATTTTTATTCGAATTAAGTTTTAAATGAAACATGCCAAAAACTTTAATTTTCATAGATTGCGTTGATTTTATTCCTTAGGTTACAAAATCCATAGTATATGCGCCAGAACACAATTTCTTATGAGCTACACATTTTTTTTACGTATTTTTAGACTACTTGCAATTCATCAAAATAACATTGCATACTTTTAAAAAAAAAACATATTTTACTTTAATAAAAATGTTTTTTTTTTTACATATATTTAATTAATGTGACTAGGTTTACAGCACACTACAAACAAGTTACATTATTTTTACGTTTGTTAGCATAATAAAAATTCAAAAACCTTAATTTTTATGATTTGACATGTTGGAAATAATTAAATTCGTTAGAAAAACAAAAAAGACAAAATTGATATTATGTCTACGGTAAACTTTTTCGATGTTGTTGTTATTCACATGATTTTATACTAAGTACATGAAAATAATTGTCGATTACCGAATTCAAATTGTTGAGTCATTAAGTTATTTATTAATAACAGGAAAATAATTTTTTCAATATCCATGAAAACACAATAATAATATTTTATTATTTCTAATTTAATACATCTAGAAACACATGAATAATAATGCGAAAATTAATTAAACTTAATTATCAGTACTAACTTTGTTGTGGTTTTGCCAGATTATTTTAATTTGAAAAAACAACTTGTAGGCATGTATTACAATTTCTTAGTTTCCACATATATACAAACCTAATTAATTACATGAGAAATTATAGTGTGCTATCTAAACAGAAGCCCGCCATACACAAATACTTATTACCTTCAATAGTTAATAGATTCATAGTAGACTTAAATCTTCATAAATCATACGAAAATGTCTTATTATGCAAGAACAGATATTTTTCAATGTTAGTATTAATTAAAGTACCTACAATTAGCAGATATATATATATATATGAAAACAAATATAAGCCATTCTATAAATAGCCAATAATTATAAACTATATTATCAAGGCTATGAGTTCATCCTGAGTAGATCCTGAGCATTTTGTTTCCGTTACTATTGTAAAAACGAATTTAAATTTCAAGCATCAGTAAAAAACACGAAAAAAAAACAATTATTCGTAACCTTCAATTCTACATGGAGATTGTTACTTTATTGATATAAATCGGGCATACATATGCGCAAGATCGATCGTGAGATTATTCAGAGTCCAATATATAGTTATGGTAATATCTATTTATTTTTACATTGAAATAAGAAGTTTCTAGACTATTTCAACTCGGTCGTTGCACTACGTTTACAATCTAGTTCACCATACATGGCTATTAACATCAATTGATTTTGTTATTTTCATTTTATCATAATGACTTTATGTTAATATAAACTTGGCGTACAGTTTGGATTGTATGATCGACCCAATGAACTATCCAAATCACTGCATTTATCGCACAAGGAAGAGACACCTGATACTATTTCACCTAATGAAAGCACAGAGCAGCTGATGGCCATTTGCTTTAACACGTTTAGAATATCAATGTGATGTTCGTGTTCATGTCTATTAATGATACAAACGCAAATTCAATTACAACTCAGGTAATATATATTTAATAATTTATCTATAACACATCAAAACGTGCAAAAAAAGTTTCATGATGAATTATAAAAAAATTAAAAACGACTGGAAAAAATGTAAGAATGCCTGAAGTTTAATTGAAACATAAACGACTACAAGGTTGCTACAAAAATATGAATAGGTACAAATAAAATATTTATAAATGCAATTCATCATAGTCGACCGAGTGCATTGTTGCACCCCCTCGTATTATTATTATCATGGAAATCAATTATTACAGTTACTGTCAGCTTTTGAATTAAACATTTCCCACGCGTTTTTTTACTGCACACGATATTTAACGAGTACACTATGCACTGTAAGACATTAATATTTACAAAAAATACTACAGTACCATTATAAAGACATACATCATCACTTGACACGTTTAACCACTAGATGTCGCGTCAGTTAGTAGGTACTGTACTCAACGCGTTCAATGCGAATTCATTAACTGTTGAGAAACCTTTCTTAAGTAATTCATTTAAGAATGGATTACGCAAGCATGAACCTTTACGTTTGCATAATTTTGTTTATTTTAGGGTAATAATTTTTAATTACATACGATTTCATGTTGATATCTCTATATAAGTAATTATAACGAAAAAAAAAACTTTTTTTTTAATAATCAAAAAGCTTTGCGTGTTATAGTTTCAACTATGAGCGAAACATACAAAAAAAAAAAAAAGACAAACAAACCAATTTCATAACTTTATTTCTTGTAAGTCCTTTACTTTCGTAACCAATTGAATACGTTGTATTGTATTTGTTACCATAACACAATAAAAAAAACCTTAGTTTATAAACATGATACATAGATGATAATTTTAGGTAGAAGATATGTGTTGGGTTGGGTGTTTATGTTTAAATTAACGTTTGTGTGCATTTCTAGGTTTTTTTTTTATTTATGTAACATTTATGTTATCATTTACTGTCAACTTCATTAAATACACAATTTTCAAACCGACAAGATCACTCATCAGTGTTTGTGTACAACATGTCAAACATATCTAAAGAACTAATCGCCTTTGTTAAATCCTACCAGTGTTTTTTTACTATAGCTTAGGAAAGTACATAATTTTGCGCAGCGATTGTAATTTAAAAAATCTTCCTTCTGTTGAATAGAAACGTCTGACAGATAGAAAAATCAGCTGATTTAACCTGTTTCCAACTGCTGGCAAGTCATACTAGTCACGATAAACCATTACATCTAACTGGATACCCCACGTCTTACGGAGACGGCGGACCATCGAGTTAACGATGACGATCACGGGTGATGATGATGATGATGGATCATCTGAACCAAATATGCCCGAGTCACGATCGAACCAAGAAAACCGGTCTCGGTCATTTGAGGAGTAGAATAAAAAACCGGTCGTACACAGATACATATACTGTTCATGTCATATTGTACTCGGTGATTGATGCTCGCGGTTCTTCACCATCTCTGCCGCTTTTCCTACCATCTTTATCTTCAACTCATCTACCTCTTCACACTGCGGTCTAGACCGCCTCCGTTCGCCATTTATGTCTGTACAATACAAACGTCAAGCCTGACCAACGTAAATATAACTAAAATAAACTTTCGATCAACGGGGCGAGAGATCTTTAGCACTCGATAGTAGTCTATGTATACCCAAACACTGACGTCGATTAGATTAGAGAAATTGTTTTTCAAATACATAATAGAAAAGATAATTTTTTTTTTGGGGTTAAAATAAAGTATGACCCTTTATTTATTCTATTAAAATTAAAATTGATTACTAACATTTGATTAAACAGTTCAATGTAACTTAAATCAAATAAAATATATTAATTATTGTATACACAGCTGATCGTTTATGTATAAAAAATATACAAAAACTATTTAAAAGATAAATCATAAATAAAAGAACGTATTCATTTAATAAATACAGTGAGTAAATATGTCGAACATTAAAATAGAGAATAGTTAAATCAAAAATTATAAATCAAGCGCTACATTGTTGGATTTGTTAATTTTTATTTTTTATTGAAATCAAAACCATTCTAGAAAATTCTTTTTGCTTGCAATATTTTTATTTTTAAATAATATTGGATATTACTAATGAACAAAAAATAAAATTTTGAGAAATTATACGTATTATACCGTTTTATTTATAATTACACCTACTCTACAAATTGCTGACGGGTCTTTAATGATATCATCTATAAGTCTGTAACGAATTTCTCAATTTTAATTGATGTTTGTTTCTATAGAAGATTTTTTTTATTATATATACAAATACGAGGATCAGAAAACCATATCTAAGCGTAATGGATAATTGCATTAATAATACCAGCATTTAATGT